AAATTTCTGATTTATGACACTTTCTAACAGATTCGTACACCTCTTCTCATCACTGGCTGTAGTTATAGTACATTTCAGTGACTTAGGTATCGACATGATTTAGCATGCAGATCGCCTTGCAGTACTAACAGTAGCATTTTGTTGAGCTTTGTAGTGGTGTCACTAGGCATGAGTGTACCATTCTTGAAAAATTTTCTTGGCATCCGATGTACGGATTACGAACTTCTCAGAGTGCCTTATCCTCGGCTAGAGCTGACCGTTCATGTGACGTTCAAAACGGTGGAAGCAGGTACTCTAATTGGTTCACTGATCTTCGGACCTGTCAAGGCGTTGGTCGATGGCGAATCGCCGTTACAGACGGCCCTGATCTACGGTGCTAAGGGGGCATTGGTTGGTCTGGCGATAGGTCCGGTGTTGTCGGCAATTCGCCTTATGAAGCTTAATAAGGTCCAGGTGTACGACCGGTGCTATCGACTGCGTTTCAACCGTTCGATGCTGAACCTTGATCGAGCGGCGTTATTCGGCGCTGTCGTCGGTGTCGGTGTAGGGGGTCCAGCGGGTTTCGTAATCGGCGTGGATCTGGCGATGATCAGCGGCATGTTCTCCTATTTCGCGTTCGCGAAGAATAAAAAGAACCTGATGACTGTTCTGTAGTAGCCGTCTACAGACCTGTTCGTTGTCGTTTGTTGATGGTCCATTTGCGGTGCCTGGTCTTTCAGTAGAGTTCCAAACCAATACTATTACGGCCAATCAGATGTTAGCTGCTGCATAGTTTAGATGCTCAAAATTGTATATTTAATGGCTGACATTATCAGGTGAATATGAAACTTGTTTGTGATTGTCTGGCTTTCGATTTTTTGTTTGTTCATTTCCAGAAATAAAAAATGAAATGCTTTTCTCTGTTTAAGTTTAAGTTATTTCCAACGTGTGACGTGTGTCGTATGCTGAAAAAGTAAACGGACGGCTTAGCTGCACATGTTGCAGTTAGAACTTGTAGCCAAAGAAGTTTCTGATCGAAAATAAGTTTTTCATGCCTAGAATTTACGTCAATCATTGAACAAAAAATAACTGTGATGTATCCCTTATCATTGAAGAAGGATCTTAAAAATAATGCAGGTAGTAGCGGTCCGTAAGTTCGATTCAGGCCTTCGGGAGGTGGGGGGCAACGACCGTGGTGTAGCTTAATTTGTGGCAATTTCTAGTTATTGTCCAAGCTGCTGTCAAATAAGGAAAAGTCTGTAACCTATTAAGACGTAGAATTCAGTTTCATGCTTGACACCTTTTCTTCATGATTGTGGCGATTATCTGTCTGTTTTCCTATTATTTTTTCATTGTTTTCATCGGTTCTGGAGAGCCTTGTTCTTGCTTTTATGATTATATCAACAGTGAATATACTTATGAGCACTGGTTAAGTTCTCTTGTTTCTGCCCCATTCCGTGGTAGTCCTTACTTCGGAAGGATTAAAGGGGATTGAACCTACCCGAGCTAGGTCTCAACTGAATTTTAGGCAGTGATGTCGGCGGTTTACCGCTGAGCTGTCCTGATCCACGTTAGCTACTGCAGGATTCAGGATGAAAAGGATCTAGCAACTCCAGCTTCTGTACACAAAGATGATCGTGAACCTAGACCACGAGAGTTTCTGGATTCTGAATAATACCAACCCAACCAAACTGCTTTATTCATTAAGCTGTAAATTATTTTGAAGATAAGTGGACTGGTAGAGCAAATTTTCTAAGTCAACAGAGGTCGACCCTCAGTCCATTATACCTGAATTACGGAATTACTGTAGCCGGACAGATGCCGAAACGCAT